CCACGCGGTGCAATGTCGGACAGTGCGTCCGTGGCACCGAGGTATGTACATCCTAGGCTCGATGAGCACGAGCGTCGCGCTCTGCGCACGCTATCAGTGACGATTGACCTATATGTTTTTAAAATGAAATGGTCAATTTAATTTTGGAGGAGCCAAAAGCTGGATGGGCTTAAGGCTAAGTTTTGCATTAAAAAGCACCTATTTGCTGCGCCAGCATCATTTGTCATTATTCTTATCGAATTGATGGGGTGCCGTGTCACGTCGGCATTATTTGCACTTTGCTTGTGCACGAAAATAGCCAGGCCAAGCCGCTTCCTATGTTTTCTATGGAGCAGTCGCATTAGTCAATCGTCGGTGACTTTTAACTCTGCAAGATGTTGTGTTTCAAAACAAAGCAGCTCGATAGATAAATTCGTTGATCTCAAAAACATATTTTGTATATGTTGGCAAACAGCTTATTGAAGCACATACACTCAAGCAGTGTTTTTCGTGCCATTTCGCATCCGATTTCCCATGCTGTTCAAGACTGTGGGTGATTATATTGTCAAATAGTTTCGTGCATAGCCAGAAATGTGATCTGGACAGCTATGGCACCTCATATTTGACAGCTAAGCCGGTGTGCTCGACAGTCTCCAGGTCACTTTCAGAGCATCCCACTCGGAGTATTAACCGCAGCGATATAAATATTGCTGTCTCCTATGAGCGGTTAATTCTAACAATTCATACGGTCGGACGCACCAAGCAAGATAAAACTGGCTATGCTGATTCTAACAGTATCTGCATCTAGCTTATCATAGGCACGCACCATTAGTTAATCGTCATTAGCATCTTTCGACATGAAGTCAGCGTCTAGTGATAAAATTACCTATGTCTCAACAAACCTACTTTGCACAAAATGTGTATTACCTTGGCCAGGGATCTTAACATGAGACGCGCCATTCGGTTCCCGAAGCCAAGTCAATTTCATGACGCACTCCCGATCGGAGAAACACACATGATGAATCTTGTGTCATCACATCATTTTATTTCTTAAGTAATAGATAAGATGTAGACATAGGATTGTTAAGAAAGTCGTCCTTCTCCTCAAATTCATAGTAAAAAGCTTTCATTCAATGACGAGCTCAGCACCTCCTTTAGTACCAGCCGCAGCATTTCACCGTCTTTGCTGTATTTGCAAACGACCCGAGTCATAACTCATGCCAAGTACAGCTTTTGTCGGAGGTACTCGAAGCATCTAAAATTATATCGACCGATCAATTCACTAGTGGATGTTTTTCTCGTCATTTATCCGTAAGACTACCAAGTTACAAGCGTCACACCGTAATGCTACCATCACTTTCGATTATTTCTAAGCCTCAAGATGTGGTATTCTTCTTGTGGATTACAGTCGCCAATCTTTGCTTCAGCGCGACGCACATTCACTCGTGCTCTCCACCAGCGACCGATGTAAATATTAATCGTACCACCAGAGCTACATTTCAGGGACCACAATGAACCGTATTTCGTTTGGTATCGGTAGATATACACGCGCTATACGATCGCTTTTCTCTTCAGTTATCCTGGAACCGCGATTCACTGCGGAAATCGTATTCCAAGCTCAACTTTAGGCTCTTAGTAACCCCTTTCTGATCATTTGAACAAATATGTGTCCTGCGCCGAGATTGTAGCTTCATGCTTGCGCATATGCTCTTTTGCTTCAAAGAAGGGAAAAAAACGTAACCTGCCAAATCTCCACCACGCCTATCTTTCATGACTTCTAATTGATTTATGACTTATGGCAATAAGCCATGCCATATTTTGGATGAGGTCATATTTTATATACTGGTCCAGAACGAGATACCGATCCACGCTATCATTGTCACCAAACTTCACGGAAAGGTCTAACAGAATTATCGATATTTTCACTAGTACCCTAAGCAAGATGTTTTGATATCCTATCCGGATTCGTCTTATATGCTTCCGCGTACCATCTACTGTTCTGAACAGCCGTAAGTCTAACATCATTGCCTCGATTGAACACGACTCTGCGCACTTTTGCGAATATCGGAACCTTTGATGTTAACAGCAAACAACTCTGGCTGTGAGTCCCACCTCGTTTGTAGAGAGCCACTTCTTTCGTGGACTCGTCCAATTGACCACAACCTCCACGGGATACAATAGAACACAGTTTATTTCGAGTATGCCACCTTGTGTCTAGGAATTGACGTTTCTTCGCGAGGAGTTCATTAGACAATCTTACTTGAAGGCTCGACCTTCCGTGCCTGTCAGCCGAGAGCAAATGGGCTCGCAAGATGCAGGTATTTTGTACGGCCACATATTTAGCATGCGCAAATACCGCGTAGCTGCTCGACACCTTGTAGTCTTTCTTCCTTCTCAGCTTTGTTGGGGTCTGTCGCCTCTGCAGCTCTAGCAGCGTTCACTTTCGGTACTCTCCCGACTCGGAAGTTGTACTCCGCATACAATGCGACACCGACCACTCTTCGAAAAGGTAGGATAGGGGCGAAAGATCTTGCTACGAGCCGCATCTGTTTGGAGATACTCCGTAAAAGTATCCGCCTTTTGAAGGCGGTTTGCCGCTATAGCAACGATAAGGAAATTCGCAACTTTTGAAAAGTCTGCTTCTTCTTAACTCTCTTGATAGGTAACCAGGTACTTGAAATATCCTCAATACGCCAGGTTATGTAGTGCAAATATCCGCGACGTATGTCGCTTTGTTGAGATCGTGTATCTTTCACAGAGGCATTGCACGTTTGTGCCCATTCTCGCAAGAGATAGTAACTTTAAGCGCTGCCACGTGGGGCAATTCACTACATGTCACTATGATGAATGTACGCTGGGTTCTCCGACTTCTGGAGAAGGAGAGCAGGCCTCTTGCAAATTTCTAAGCTAAGTAGATTTCAAGTGTTTATACCTTTTTGCTCCTTTGAGACCACAGACGTATAAGGACCAAATTCCAGCCAGTCAAGCAGTTGTCGGTTTGACAAGATTTCCATGACGATATGCTAAATTTAGCTGCACTTTACCAGCTTATTTTGATTCTGCTGTCACAAGATGTCTTTGAATTCCATCAAGTGTTAAGTACTCGACATCGAAAAAGCTATAAAGCTTATTCACTGTCATATTACCTGGATTTCTCTGTGTCAAAGTTGCATCGTTCACTCACTTAGCACTTGTTTTCTGGTTTCCTAAACTTCATTACTACCTAAAATCGAGTCCATCAAGCTTTCGTCCTCATGACTCATATTTGACGCACAAGATTGTGGACTGATGTTCGTCGACAGTTCTTCAAAATCCGGTGTACATTGCAAATGCCCATTACTTACCGGTGCACTCTGAAGCCATCGCCTTGCTAGAAAGTTATCAGGATCTCTAAGTGTCACAAGCGATGATCCTGTGGCTCCACTCAATAAAGCATCAGTAGCCACAGTTTGCGGTCGACAAGACGCAGCACCATCCACAAAACTTTTTTCGAGTTCTCTCAAAGTCACGGACTTGACACCTTGAAGACGAGTCAAGACAAAATCCCGGCCAAGAAGTCTTTGTGCACTAAGTGCAACATCAGCTGCAGAACGTCGCATACGAGCACTATTGTGCGTCAAACCCTTGCAAACCACTTCAAGTACACGCGAAGCTCCCAATCCATCAGCTTGGAAGCCAAATTCGGGTACCAACAGACGAAGCATATGCATCTGCACGTGCACGTCACATGCACTGCTTCCTTCACCATTAAATACACACGAAAGCACGTAGCGTAGCGGGTGACGTGCATTAGGCAATCGTGCAAGTTTAAGAACTCCACGACATGCAGCTCGAGTCGTGCGTGTGTTGGGTTTCTGCATTGCTGCCAGCATCCGTAAGAGAAGCAGCAATGTCACGTCACGCACATTCGTTTCACGCCATTCAACTCGAGGGCCATAGACTTTAATAAGTGTTGTATAAGTGTCGAGAGCAGTGTTGGCTACAGGCGCAATACTATCACCTAACGCACGGTGCAGCAGTGCGCTATATGCAGCAAACGTACTTTGCACACAAGTTCCAAAATCCGGGCGTACATCACGCAAGTCTGACTTTGCTTCAGTCATAGCTTTATCAATATCTAAAAGTGCTTCCTTTCGATCATTCCACATTTTGCTAGAAAGCTTTCGCCAGTTCACAGGCCCAACGATATGTTGTGCATTTGATAGTAATATTTCAAGTAGTTTCATACTCGACTGTGAATCTTCTTGTGGAACGGTAACTAGTTCAGCTGGCGGAAAAGCAGCTTCATCATCGGCCTGCTCTTCTGCTTGATTCGTTGCGGCGCTTCCTGTTTCTTCGGGCAAAGTATTCGCTAAGTGTTGTTGTTGCCGCTTAGCAAGTAATTCATCTACACGACGAGTGATAACGCGAAGCATTTCTGGCTTATATGTACCAACACAAGCAAGTTGAGCTTGCCAAGCTGTCGATTTACCACTAAGTGTCTGGATGTCTGCGAGAATCTCCACCGCAACTTTGCGCGTCTTCTCCTCGGCAACTGTTAAGTTTGGTGCAACGAATGCTACCACGGTCTCTACTGTTAATTGTCGGTGTTGCGAGGAGGAATCAGCCAAGGATGAAAGACCAAATTCTTGGATCAAACGGCGTAGCATTTCAAGCTGTCGACGTGGTGCAACTTCCCGTCCACTCAAATGAAATAGCAGGTGTGGAATGGCTCGCAATGATCGAAGGCGAGCAATCCGAATTAGCGCTTGTGTGACTTCGCGTTGCGTTCGCTTGTTTGAGTCTCCGATCTTCTTAACGAGAGCACCTACCAAACTGGACAACTGGGTGTTCAAGCACGCCACACTATTTGAGTGAACATCCGCTTTCGCACGTTTGTTGGGAAGTACACGAGCAAATTCTTTCAAAACGGCACGAAAGCACTCAAGTGCACAGTACATAACGGGAGCGACACGATCCTCGACACCGCATTGCACAGCTGCAAGCGAAGCACACAACAGTCGTTGCCGTTCCATCGAATCAATACTAGAAACATTTGCCTTCTTCACTGCTAACTTAATCGCATCGTAAGCATCTTGTCTATCAGCCCATGCGTCGGCTGCTAACAAGCTGACAATCCGCTCGCCAAACGCTTGAGTGATCAAAGCACCCGTGTCAGGTTTAGTGGTTTCCACGTTGTCTTCATCGGTTAGTTGTAATTCATCTTCCAACAGCTTTTCAGTCATCGACTTCACCTCGGGGATCTGTGAAGCTGACGATAAAATTGACGTCTCTGAATGAGGTCGGCCTCTAAAACCTTGTAGCGATACTGAACGATTGCAAGGTCTATCGTTTTCTTCATGTATGTCTTGAAAAGGAAGATTAGACAGGCAGCTGCCGGACAAAAGCGGTTCACACGAAGGCATCATATCAATGCCGGGTCCTAATTGCATTCGCTTTAATGGAGAAGAAGGCGAATAGCTTGTGCGAGGAGTTGTAACTATATCTTTGTCTATAAACTTTTTGTCATGATCGCTGCACACCGTAGTATGATTTTGAGAATCCGTCAAGGTAACTCCACTGACCATAAAATCAGCATGTTTTGTAGGCCTCAATGACTCATCCAGATAAGTATCATCATCATAATTTCGGTCTTCGTTACCATCTGCAGGTATCCGTGAACTAGCTTTTAAAATCGGCTTCTTTTTTTCTTGGGCAACAATATCTAGTAGATCGACTTCTCCGTTAATATTGTGCGGCAGCTCTTTCAAACTGCAGTTAGCCTCATTATCATTCTCGTTGCTCCGATAGTCTGTTTCATGATCACTTTGAAAACGTATCTCCTCTTGAATTTCTTGCTCGTCTTCGTCACTGGCATCGTTATTTTGCTCATGCGTCTCGCAACGAATCTGTTCGATCTGATTGAAACTATGCTTCGGTCTGGAAACAACAAAGACCGATGCGTCCGAAGTGGACACTTCGTCCGAGTGATCATCTTTGGACTCCTTTTCAATACCACATCGCTTAGATCTTGAGTTCACTTCCTCAGGTCCTCCTTTATTATTCTCCTCTAATTCACTTCGCTGTTGATCAATCGTAAACTTACTGGCTTCACCTTTCGATCTAATCAAATTTTGCGTCGTAGGTGATGCTGTAGTACTTGGCTTCCAGATGCCAAAGTTTTTTCTCAATTTACTAGTCAACTTGCCAAATGCACTTTTGTTTCGAGTTGGAACGGCATCCGTACGATTCGTTTCCATCGAGAATCAAGAAGTGTCAAAGTGCCTAATTGAAAATGTACATGCAATGATAGAGATTGCTCCACTTATATATCAAGCGTCTATCGACCAAAATAAAAAAGCGTCGTGAAACAGACGTGGTAAAGTTGTCGCGATATTTCCGGCTACCAATGAACCGACAGGAGGTTCTATAAACTACAGGAAGCTTTCTCGCTACGATGGATGACGTTGATGCAAGTTCCGTTCTCTCGACGCTCGAAGATGCTAAGGTCTTATTGGAAAAATTACGTACGCTCACGATTAGCATTAGCGAAGCAGCATCGAGTTCAACGCTTAAAAGTGAAAAGGACTACACTACAAGCGTAGTACCGCAGCTTGATGAAGCTACACAAATTTATCAATCTCTTGCTACATTTTTGCGAGAACACAAGCGCGGAAAAGCTGAAGTGAGTGGATTCCGTGATGTCCAGCGAACATTTGTCAAAGTGATGCAGGACTTGCAATCCTCTCAACGTCAAGCCGCTGCTCGTCGCGAGGCTCTATGTGATGCTGATTTTCTAGCTGGAAATGGATCTGTTGCAATATCAGCACAGGAGATTCAAACTGCGAAGGAAGAGGTGATTGAAGCCGGTGAAATTGCACAAGAAGCTGCAGCTGTAAATGCACTATTTCACCAAGTGGGGACGCTGATTAATGAACAAGGCCATGGTGTGGACATGATTGTGACTAAAGTAGAAGCAGTACGAGTTGAAATTGGTAAAGGTGTCGACGAATTGAAGCATGCACGTCAATTACAGCGTGAAGCTCGACAAAAGTATCTTTGGTGCCTTTGCCTGTTCGCAGTAGTTCTCGCTGTAATTATTGTTTCACTGGTCTTTGCGCTGAAGTGACAATATTTACAATTAGACAGCAATTTCGTACATCATGTTTCCATGAAAGAGTACAAATCATTTCATTTCAATACAACTTGGTATTTGTATATGTCTAAAACCAGGCAGGGCCCACCGTTAGATTTGAGGAGATCCAAACTCAAATCTCCTCCACTCTTACTAATAATGCCTGAGACGTCTACCCCCGCCGCCCCTACCACCCTCGATGTCGAGATGACTCCTTCACCCTCCTCTGTCGGAAATTCATTTATGCGACAGTACTACCACTTTTTAGCCAAGGAGCCGCAGAGTATGCATCGCTTCTATAAGGCCGAAAGTCGGTGGTGTCATGGCGTTGGATCGCATATGGAGGAACCCATTGCTGGTCAGCGTGCCATTAATGAACAGATTCTTAAGCGTGGTTACGCTGGAGCGCGTGTCGATTTAGATGCTGGATCTATTGACTGTCAAAACTCGCAAGGAAATGGTGTGCTTGTGTTAGTTACTGGTGTCATGGTGCTACGCGAAAGCCCAACTCCTAAGCCTTTTGTGCAAACCTTCTTCTTGGCTGTGCAACCCAAAGGATATTTTGTTTTGAATGATTGTCTTCGTTTTCTTGAACTACCTGGCGTGTCATCTGTCGAAGTTGCATTAGATGTGGCGGCGAATGGCATTAAGACGACATTGCCTCCATCTCCTGTCAAGAAACTTCAAAAGGAGACGCCTGCATCTGTCTCTCCTACTTTAAATTCACCTATCGACAACAATAGTATAGGAGCCAAGACAGAGGTGGTTGCACCCGTATCACCTGTCAAAGCTACTGCCACCGTTGCGTCGACGCCTAACACGAGAACGACAAAAACTGAAGACTCACCGGCTCCAGTTGTTAGGACACCTTCACCGGTGAAATCGCCGCAAAAGCAGGACAAGACACCAGTTGCTGCTACGTCACCCAATAGTGTTGTCGAGCCGGTTGCTGCACCATCTGATCCGGTGGTACCGGTCACTACAGAGCCTGAAAAACCCAAGTCATGGGCTGCATTGTTTTCGGCCTCAAATGCTCCAGCAACAAATGCATCCTCTGTTGGAACTGCCTCGGCTCCGACGAAACCAGCGACTCCCGAGGTCGGAATTCCAGTTTCTCCGTCTGTCGCTGTCTCTACGACGACAGTCTTGCCATCGGCAGAAGAGTCACCAAAGAACAAATCTGGCACCGGAAAGGAGAAAGACCACAAGCGTTTCCACAGTCTATTTATTCGAGACGTGCCTCCACAAACGCGCGAAAATGATTTGCGAGATTTGTTTAAAGGGTACGGCTCGATCGCTGGAGTGAGTGTTGTGGCCCAGCGGGGCTTTGCTTTTGTCGACTATTACGAACAGGAGAGTATGCGCGCTGCTCTCGCTGAGACTACTGAGTTTAAAATTAATGATAAGGTGCTTCAGGTGGGTGAACGTGCTGAAAGAAAGGAAAACCAGCGTGGTAGTTTCCGTAACAATGACTCGCGTGGTCGTGGAAGAGGTGGATTATCTAAAGGCGGTCGTGGCGAACGAAAGGAGCGAAGTGGTGACGAGACTTCCTTTGCTAACAAAGGCGAACGACGCGATTTTCCGCGTCGTGAAAAGTCTGGCAACCGCCGTGGTGGCAAAGTGGACGCAACTTTGAACCGGGTAGAGTAGTCAGTTGCTTATTTGCGCGGATTAAATAAGCGTCGAAAGAAAGCGCTAATGAGAGTGCAGCTCGTGGAGACCGCCGGGCTGACGAATTGGATGCTTTCTTATGGTGGTACATGGCGAGCAAGTTACTAGGTAGAGCGACGATACGATGAGAAAATGGACACTGGTGCATGAGTGGTAGAGAAAGTAGAGAAAACAGCTAAGTTAGGGTAGAACAACAAGCTGGGGAGCTTGGAAGCTCCCAGTTTTGCCAGTTTACTCCATCGTGTTCAAAACTGTCCGATTCGTGATTGTGATCTACCATGTACGACTACTTAGGTGTACATTACCTTACTGCATTACCTGCGCTTCTTTAAGTACACGAAGCGCCTTCTTTGTGTCCCCCTTTTTCAGTAAAACGTACACTAGTAATTCGAGTGACTCACGGCAGTTCGGATTTTCTCGTACGGCGCGCGTCACGCTCTCTTCAGCTTCTGAAGTGCGACCTTGCAGCAAAAGAGAAGTGGCATTGTTCACGTGAACACCAGCTCGAGCCATAGACAACTGTACCATGAAGAGCATTTCTACATTAGATTCATTAAATTTAGCCGATACTCGCCCAGCTCTGCCTAGTCTTACCTGAATGTTAGCCTCACGAGCGTATTCTTCAGCCAAACCCATCAAGTCTCTCTCTGCCTGCAATATTTCAGTCGCTTTTGACGCCCTAGATAGCATACACAGAGCCTCTGCTGTGTATGATCGTGCCAAAAAGGAGTTTGCTTTCGAGCAAGTGGGCAGCTCTAGCAACTCTTTAGCACTTGTGATCGCTAATTGAGGTTCGTACATTGACAAGTAAACGTACGACAAGTTTACCAGCGCTTTCTGACGCAAAGAATCAAGCGCCTTTACATCAGGTGCTTTGCTCTCAATGGCCTCACCACTTGCATTCACACTTCCATTTGCACTTGCTGACGTTAGCAGCTGATTGCATAGTAACACCACATTCTTAAAGCATTTCGCTCCAAATGGCAAATTCATAGTTGGAGCACCATCCGTATCATTTGCATCTATAGACGCTTTATGAGTTCCATTGCCATTAACACTTTTTGCTGGAAGTGTAATATCCAGTGACGCTGTAGACGGCAAACTAGTAGGAAGGAGCACGCGACGGTGTGATCCAGAGCCCACAATGCCCTGAATTAAACCGCTCTTGTTTCCTGCCATAACAGCTAACTTTTGCTTCTTGGCGAAAGCAGCTGTACAGCATTCACCCAGACGTAACCACAATTTAGGTCGGTTGAAAAACAATCGCGACGACTCATTAAAACATCGAAATGCCAGTGCGTATTCTCCCTGAAGCAATAAGTGCAAACCATTATTGTACATGATTTCATGGTGGGAAGAACTGGCAATCACGACCGCGTCCATATTATTCCCTTTCGTTGTCGCTTGAAGGGCACGGGCAAAATACGACTTTGCTGCTTTTCGATGCCCCATTTGATAATGGATGCAGCCCATATTATTCAGCAAAATACTCTGCTCAAATATCAAGTCGTCAGCTCGTATCCAATATCTCGCAATGATTAAAAACGTACCTCACTCACTGCTTCCTGAGTACACGATGCTAAGAGCTTAATACATTTCGTGTAGTTCTTTTTTAAATATTCCAAGTTTGCTTTAAGAAATAGTGCCGTCGAGTTCTGAACTGTCAGACACGGGTGTCCTATGGAAGAGCTCGTCTTCTCCGAATCCATGGATAATACAGATGACGTCACTTTCGAGTCTCCTCGATCATACGTCTTTATCTCCTTTTGAAATATCTCCAGAGCTGACTTCACTTCCTTTTTCGCAGTTTTTAAATTGCTCTGTAATAGCATAAACTTAGCACGGTACAAATGCAGTCGAAAGCGAAACTCAGTCACATCCCATCGATTTTTCCTCTGCAGATCTGTCTCCTTTACATTCCCATTAGCATCTCGTTGCACCAAATGGTCTGCCACATCCTGTACTGTATTAAATCGGTGCGGCTTCTCCAAAAACGTCATAATGCTTTGGGCCTTCTTAATCGTTGCCATTCGTTCCCGCTCTGTACTCACACAACCTCTACTGCTATGCAATATAACGTCCAGGTAAAGAAAACTGGCGTGCATAGCTACATTTTCATCAATAGAGACCACACTACGCATCACAAGGTCCAATACTGAACAAGCCTGTGCGTACTGCTTGGACAGAAAGAGGGACGCCGCATAATTGTAACGAAGATACGCTAGCTCTCTATCAATCGAAAACGAGCCACTATCTCCCTCGGTCTCAGCATCCAATGTGGACGCTACTTTGCTATTCTTTTCGTATTCTTGCAGCTGTGTGCGTAAGTTCTGGCGAAGTGCTTGTTGTAGCTTATCAGGTGTATCAAGTCTTGCGGCAAAGCGAGCTAAAGCCAAGTTGTGGCGCACTTTTAGATCCTGGCGAGGGTCAAGTTCCTCTACCAGCTTTTCTAATGCATCTACTGCCTCTTCGTACTTGCCAGCACTACCAGAAAAAAGTGTCAGAGTTAGCAATGAGCACGAACTCGGTTCAATAATATGCGGTAAAGACCCACTTGAACTTCTGCTGAGCACGATGGCTCAGCGAGGACTTGTTGTCCTTGACGCCAGACATGTTGCAATCAATGTATAATACTTCTTTTGCTTTTCTTTTAGCAAATTGGATTACTTTCTAGATGATGTGAATAGCAAGAGAAACGTTTAGTAGCTGAACTACATTTTACCGAAGCGATACGTGCGATATAGCAAGATAACACACCTTTCCACTGATGCAAAATGTTATCCGTAGAACTTTGCACGGCGGCAACGCTAGCAAGGGGGCGGACGAGTAGTGCGCAACAACTTTTCTTCTTATTAGGATTTCTGAGTAATATCGTGGGGTGGAGATAATATTTGGTTTCGCCCAATCACAACTCTGCGTATATAGAACTCAAAGCGTTTGATTCATTTGACTATGGATTTGTTTCGTCCTACTCAAACACATTCTGCTGCTCCTCATCGACGTCATCGTCAGTAGCTTCAAGTGCACTGAAGTTCATGAAATGCGTCTTGCGGTGAATTTCATGGTAAAACTCCTTGGGGTTACCCAACTTGAGGTCATACTTCATACCTGTGTTGTGTTTGACGCCCATAAAGTTGTAGTTCCACACGTCTTCCTCGGGCACCATATAGAAACCCATGAACCGGTCTGACAGTAGCATTTGCACCTTTTCATAGTGTGTCGGAACGAATCCCGCGGGATTCGCACCGTTGTCCTTATTTTGACGCCCCCATTCGTAACCCGCTGGCGTCAACTTGTAAGCTGTCAGCGAGCACGAACCAGGAGTGAAGCTGCACGTAATAATAATTGCCTTTTCTCCATCCCACGAAGTATTCTCTGACATGATTTTTGAATGAAATGTAATATCCTGTGGCGGCAAACTCGGCAATTCATTGGGCTGTGTATGAAGCCAACCAAGCGCATCCATCTCCTCTAAATACTCGTGTTCGGGCATATGCAATGGGATCGTCACACTCTGATGCGTTCCAAGTTGTGGTGGCATCACAATACAGCGAATTTCTTTGACTTGGGGATTGTCGGGTGGACTTACACCATACATTAAACCACAAATTTGCGTACGCAAATCTGATACTGTGATAAACTTGTTTAGCACGTTTTTCGGCAAGACATACGTAAATCCAGTCTCTTTAATATCGTCTGATGACACGTAGATGTGATTCGTGCGCAAGTGCAAATTCGTCGCGGAGATTGCACGCACGCGCCAATCCGTTTTGGACGCGAACGAATGCTGCTCATACTGGCTTGTCGTCGTCACCACCATTTCATCACCATGTTTATTCACTGTCTTGGTTGTCACGGACGTTAATTGGCTCTGCTCTCGTGCCTGTTGCTCAATCTCAGCAACCTGTTGACGCTGCAATGAAGGCGCTGAGATTTCCATACCCAGAATGATGTCACGGATCTCTGATTGGGTCAGTGAAGCAACATTCACATTATTTTTCTTCCCATAATCTCCCAAAATCAGGTCTTTCAATTGAACTTCGACCTTTAACCACTGCTCATCAGTCAGTGACGGCCAAATGTGATGCGGCTGCGTAGTTGTCTCGCCATCAGGCCGCAATATGATTTTGGTACGATCATTGCTGACATGCAATGCTCGCAGAATCAAGATCAGACGAGAGAACGCTGTGTAGGACGTGATCGTGTTCAGCCAGTCGTCGTAGATGTTAAACAGCACCATCTGCGGCTCTGTCGCCTTTAAAATCAAATCACCAAATTTTTCAACCTTCAAGCATGCCTGGAACGGCAGCTGAAGCTCGCTTCCTTTGATGACTATATTCGGAAAATCCAACAGATGCACTTCCAAAGGATCTAGCATACCCTTGCGCGTTACAATAATTTGTTTCGGCTGCTCTTCAACAGGCAGTGACCGAATCAAAGCGGCAACTTCCTCTGCAGTCTTCCACTTAGCCAGTTGACCCAATCGCTTTTGACCTGCCCACACGGACGTGTGAATGATTTTGAGGAATAGCTGACCAGTGCGCGGGTTGAATATGAAGATGGCACCATTGATGGGTTTTGTCGTCAAGTTTCCCTCAAAAGTCTTGTGGATTGTCACGCGGTACACATTCGTATCATCAACAAACCAGATAATTTGATTCGAAAACAGCTCGCCATAGTTTTGACTGGACAGGTAAGGCTCTGTTGGCTCAGATGAGTAGAGCTGTAATCCCTTTCGAATACGCTCGCGCAGCACATACAAAGCAGGATTAGCTTTCATAATCTTCGCCATCGCCTGCTGCATTAAAGGCTTGCAGCCTGGAAACCAGTTTCCGTACCCACTGTACAAGTTATACGCGAGATCCACCGCGAGAAGTACACCCGTTGGTGACGGATAGATTGTCATGTTGTCTGTCGTGTAGTCCAAAAACTTAGCTCGCGCATATCGTTCAATATCGTGAGAATCAAAGTCACCCCAGCGAAGCTGCACATCAATCCAATACTTGGAGCTTGTTGAGCCGTCGTAGCTATCTTTCGTGTCGTGTAGCAGCGTCGGTCGGCCCATCTGCCACTTATACGCAGCAAAAAGTAGAACGTCCGCGCAGGAAGAGTTCATCTTGTACGACTTGCGAGGGTGAATTGTCTCCTTTTGCACATTTTCAATTTCTAATGCATCCAGCTCCTGGTCGAACACTGCACGTAAATCAAACGTCACAAACAAGTTAGAAAAAGAGGTAAATGAGGTTAGAGTCATATATCGCGCAGCAAACCTTGAACTGTACACAAAAGAAACAGAATATAATGTAAGCATTCGGAAACGCGACAAGAGAGCAAAAAAATCAATTACCTAGATCCATCACCAAAGATTCGTGGATCTTCTGCCACAAATGTGCACGGAAAATCTGGATCAAGGATATTTTCAGCGTTGGGATTTTACCGTGCATGAAGATCCCTGTGAGATCCAGCTGCACCTGAAAGCCAACATAAACATTCGCGCGGTTGATCGTAGGCGACCACCACAATGTAAATCGACGGTTTGGAATTTGATTCAAGCCAGATCGCTGCGCATTTGTCAACTTCTTGTACTTCATGCTTTCCTCAAAGCCCGACGCCTTCTCCCAGAACAAACCTTCCCACGTCGGAAAATACGTGCCCTTAAACAGGGTATGCTCCAGAATACCTTCGACACCACCTAGGGCTTGGATCATATCTGTTCGGTAATTGTTTAGATTCCATAGCTTGCCATCGTGTCGTTGGTGTGTCCACCAAAAGGGATTTAAGCGCGGAACTTGATATGTCTTAAATCCTGTCCGCACGCGCCAGCCCTTGTCGTAAGCTAAAGTGTGTCGATCCTTCTGAAACAGCGTGTTTATACGCGGAATACCACGATCCCACGAGTCTTCAAGATCCTCCAAAGTCAAGCGACGATTTTGCGCATTTGCTTCTTGACGTTTCAAGGCGTACTCAGCCCACACGCGCTGCGAGTCAATAAATTCGGATTCCCACGGTTGTAAATAGCGGAACAAGTTTGGAATCAGCTGGTCTTCTTCGTGAGACATTCCCGAACGAAAATGCGTTACACCCCCACCTTCAGTTTGTTTTGAGTAGCGAAGATCCGACTGTGGAATGAGAACGTGACCCATAGATAGCATACCCAGACCACCTAATTCTTTTGGCGTATAGAACACTACAGGAGGGAATCGAGACGGCATCTTCGAGTTCAAGCCAATCTTAATACGAGTCTGAATTTTATTCTCACACTTCACAAGAAGATCAAGCAATTCCTGCGTCTGTACGACCGACTCTCGGTAGTATGTCATCAGGCCAATGAGTGCCGAGTTCCACTTGTTTGCAACCTTTGTGAATGTTGTACTACCAGAAGACATAAGAATCTGCCTAATGCGATTTTCGAATGTGTGCAAGGCTTCATCGTCAACGCGAAGGTAGGCTTGCGCAGTTCGCTCTTTGGTCGTCTCATTTTGCAGAATCCAAACGCCATCCTTGTGTGTAAATTCAGCATCTACGGCACGAATCTTGGGGAGAATGCGCACCTCAAAACCGCACATGGCGAACAACAAGTTTGGGTTATCCTTTGAATACACAGACACGAAGCTGCTGTCCCAATCAAACGTCGTCATTGATCGTGGCAGTCGATTCTTCATGTCCCAGAATGTTGCCCTGCCAAGGTTCACATCGTGTTTCATCAACCTCATGCGAGCGTCACGAGGCCAGCACTTTTTGTTATTGTAGCCGACAACATTCTCATTATTCGGATCCGGGTGCTCTGTCAAATACCGCTGAATCAAATCACGAGAATCCTCAGCATCGAATCGAAAGAGAACATATATTTTATCAATATAGCGCGTATACAAGCGGATGGGATGTCGAGTCTCCGTAGGCGTATCTTTAAAGGATAAATATTCGTTCGGTAGCTCTGGTGGACCGGCAATTTCTGTCGCACGGGTCAAGCCCAGCAACAACAGGTCTAAAATCAAACCGTAGTATTGGAATATGAAGGATCCGAACTGCAATCCACGAATAAGACCGTATGAGTTCGTGTGCATCATGTCCTTGTACGCGATCACAATATTATTTTTCGCAGTCATGTAGTCAGCAATGTTGTGGTCTAAAATCAATCGCAAGAGCCGGTTTAACAACGTCAAGTCGATCTTCTCGTAAACCTTTTCAAGCTTCGACTCCAACATCACGACGCACTCGTCTGCGGACGTGTCCCAGATTTGGTGCAAATTATTGACTCCCTGGCACCACTTATAAACAAGAAGTGGAGGGGGCTCTGAGTCACTTGGCTTGATCCAGCATGGAAACAAATGGCGTTTATCAGCTTCATACCACAAATACTGATCAAGGTAAGCGTCTGTAATCTTTTCCAGCGGTTCGATATGGTACACTGGAACAAGGTGGCTGTACATGTCTAAAAATTCAATGTGAAGTTCCTTAAAAGCACGCTGTGTGAGCAAGTGCCGCTTAATTCGCGACAAAGCTTCATGAGGATTATCATAGGCTTGTTCAATCAACCCAAGCTCTTCGCGATCGGTCTGGTTTAGCCGGCTGTTGACAGAGTAATTCTCTTTCAGCCGTTCAAGTGCAAGAATGAGAAGCTTTGTGTCATGCTTGTACGACAGTGGTGGAAACGGAATTGGCGCAAACTTACGGCTTTCCAACCAATGTACTGTGGTCGTGTAAACTGCGACAGCTTCCTCGGCCGACACGTACGGGCCGTCTTTTAGGTAATTGTGCTGACGCTCTTGCTCAGCCTTTAACCACAATCGCGTCAGACGGCCTAGATTTTTCTTACAGACAGTTTTATCAACAGTTGCACCACGTTTGATACGCTCACGGTTGTAGTGAGCAACATTAGTCCACCAGTCTGCCTTGGACTTGACGTAACGCAAAATCATATTTTCAATGGGAGCGGGTAAGCCCGGCACCTTCCACGGGATATTCGCTTTCCAACTGATTGTAAAATACAATATTAGTATAGGCACAACATAGTAACACAAGGCAGAAAAACGTACCAGCGCCACGCTTCACTAAGATGCGACATGATAGTCCGGGACTTGTTTACCTTGACCCCTTCAGGCATCATATCCAAAATATCGTGCATCACAGCTGCACGCAGCTCGAGATCAAAGTGGCTTTCAACGCGCTGCTTGGTGACTGTTTTCGCGATACCCTTCGAATGGCGACCTTCAAATTGACGCGCCAACAAATTTCCAAGCCATCTCTCTAGCAGCGGCACAATTCCTCTCAAAAAGAATAGCCACACACGCCATCCAGGTGCCCAGAAGCCACATCCAGGCCCCTTCCCCACAGGTCCAGTGTTGAATCGATAATATATTAAGTGCTTTAAGTCCTTGCACATACGCACCTGACGCATGAGACGGTACTTATACCGATACATACCCGTCAACTGACCAACGTGAGCAAAGATATACTGCAATCCATCAGCCAACTGAAATGCATCCACATTACCCAAGCGATATTGCACATGTGCATCCACAATGAGCTTTGTCAAACGCAAAATTTCTCGAGTCAAGTGAAACGCATTGCCAAATCGTGACTTTTTTCGTTCCTTTGTCGTCAGCGTCTTGATAGGTTTTAAATTGAAATTGTAATCCAGATGTAGGTAATTAAGATTTTTGCGGTGAATTAACAAGTTCAGCATATTGTAACCTTGACGACAAACTTGCAGACCCGCTTCGACCCAGTCTAATTCAGTGCTCTGAAAAAATTTAGTCGACTTAAGTGACTTAAACAAATACCGCTTGTTTAATGCCTTTGGTGGACGGTGGTGTAGTGAGTTCAAAACCCAGCATTTGAGCAGCTTTTGGTAACTGACTCGCACTTTAACAGGCTGGCCTTGTGGACAATGTTCTTGAAACCATTTGTTAACTAGAGGCACATCAATTGCTCGACGTGTACGACCTGTGCGTAAATTAAATGGTCGTGGGGCCCAGTACAGAGCAATACCGTTCGCTGTATCGGAGGTATACAGTGGATCGTCTGTCAAAAGAGGGTCCAGCCCTAATGGCAATTTAAACTCATCATCTTCCTCGTCTTCTATCTTTTCGTCAGAATTATTACCGTTCTCCAAGCGATTCACTCGAAAATGCGAAATAGGATTTACAATCGGGTCGAAGTAAAACGCTGGGAGGTCCGGGTCCTCAGCTTTAATGTAACACAGCGCCGGCGTATGGTACGGCTGAATGTGGACCGAACGGGGTCGATTGTTGTACAAAAAAGGAAATGCCACCTTATATTCGGTGCGTATCTGATGGCGAATGATAATCTTGTTGACGTCATTAAATTCATTCCAGTCTTCATCGTCTTCATCCAAATCTCGATACAACGGTTCGAATTTGGGACCACCAGGAATGGCTACATTTAGTGCCTTCGCAGTAAAAAAAGACTTTTTGTCGAACAAATACTCGTAGTTTGGGTCAATCAAGTCGCTCATCAATTGACCTGCAAGACGGTGTAAATTTGCCATAATTGGCACAGGCAAACGCCACGTGCGATAGCTCGGTCCGTTCACAAACTTTGTGTCAATAAGTGGCTTTGAATCGTATAGCCACTCGATCACTGCTTCATCGTCGTCTTCGTCAAGCTCCATTGTAATGCTCTCAGAAGGCTCAATATCAAGGATGTTGTCTCCATAATCCAATGGTGGCTCTTCATCATCAAAAGGAGGAAAGCGCATACGCTTGAAGTGTCGACGGTCCCGCTTTTCGCGGCGCATCATGATCCACATGGTCCCCCATTGAGCTATGTAAACGGGTTCAATAACCCACGGGATCTCGTTTACAAAAGTGATAGCACCTGTAACGTGATACAATACTTTTACGTCCTTAATTTGCTCCCAAGGCATCGGCATATTCTCCAGAAGCTTGAAAATGGCATGAGGTACGTATTTCAACGCTCCTAAGTACACGCGCTTATCATGGCGAAATTTCTTACTACTCATATCTCCATGATCCTTGACAATCTTTCGAACATGCTCAGGTGGCATATCATCTTTGACACTCTCCACAAACCCAAACTTACGCTTCTCGCCGTAGCGCTTGGCGTTCATTTTGTCCCAACGGCGGCTACGCTCTTCTAGCATCCTATTTTTTTCTTCAGGTGACATAAAGGCCGGAGATGGAGTTGGATAAACGCCATTTCCATTTGTATAGCCATCAGGTATGGATGCAGCGCCTACCATGTCCACATCGGTGGCTCCGGGCTGCGACATCCTAATGCGGGCAGATTTAGAGTTGTTGTATGGTAGGAGGGATAGTAGACTATCTAACAGAATATTAAAGATTGAAAAGCTTGTTAAGAGGTTATTGTGAAAGGATACTGCCAAATGACATTGACTGCGTCGCCGTCGGAGGTGGAGATGAAGGCCGTGAATCGCGCAATTCCAATAAATCTGTCACTTGGCCCCGTTTCATTGTCGCTGGATGCGTTCGGGCAATGGAGAATCGGTACGCAAAGCCGGCTGCCGTAGTAGATAGTGAGCTGCAATTGGGTCATTTTGGTGCATTGTATTGTGTAGATGACAGTACGTTGCAACAGGCACAAGAGCGCGTGAAAGAGCTAGAGGCGCGCAACGCTGCACTTGAATCTGAAGTTGCACAGCTGCAGACCAAGTGTACAAGTATGATGGAAGAATCGAACATGGAGAAATTCAAGTGCCAATTGCTGATCGAAATGGCAAGTTTATCGGTTGATTAGAGTAATTCAAATATACTAACCGGAAGTTTTAATCGTTAGCTAGCGGTTTCGAGTCTAGATGAGGAGCGCACGCGCACACAGGCAGATCAGGAAAAAGCTCGCGCAAACAGCATACAGTCGGACATGGCAGCGCTACTAGAGCTGGCACGTGCTGAAGGAATGGATGTGCGCAAGCTTAACACCGCGCTAACCACCAGACCGCTGGCTCCGTAGCTTATATAGATGCGTATTAAATGTCTCGCTACATAGAAGATGACCGCCTTCTTCAAATGTTAATTTAGAGCTATGTGTAATTTTCACAACGAACGTGAATCGATGATTTTGTTGATATAATAATGGGAATATAAAATATACTCCATTTCTAAGCTTTAATAAAGAATTACTCCAGAAAAATACATTCTTAATATAAGGAATTCTCCAATTTTGTGTAATACACATGTAAGAGGGAACGAGTATGTTCCCTCTTACATGTGTATTAAACCACAATGGATAACTTCTCGATTTGCGGCCTCGCTTGCACCACGAATTGAGATCACCCCAATAGTAGCCT